TAAGTCTTATAGAACTGATAGTTTAATACTTAAAAATACCTTTTTTTAACATTTCCAAATTGTTTAAAATGGATTTATGGTTGGATACTTGTTGATTTTCGCTGCAGGAGTTACTGCGTATCACTGCACTGTGTTTCTTTATAATCAAAAGTTTGAAGGGAAAGAAAAAACGCTAACCTGACATGTGTATGTGATAAGTACTGTGAGGCTTAGCTGTTGCAGACGATCACCTGTGCTGTTCAAAAGGAGACCGAATGGTATATAAATTAAATGAATGACGTCACATTGGTGTTATGCAGACTGAGAAAAGGCTTACTCTGGTGTAGGTTTGTTCTTGTTGTTTGGGGCTTTAAAGTCAGTTCTCAGCACAGTATAGACAATACATGGCGGTTAGTGTATCTGGGTGAGAAAATCCCATAGAAACAACGGACGCACAGCAAGCTCTCTGCAAACTTTCTCACGCGCCCACGCTGAACAAGCCTGAGCCTAGAATCCACACGGACAAAAATGAGGAGGTGTCGGTGATTTGTAACGACGAGCTTTTTAGACTCTTCGTCCATCCGGGGCACCCTTTCGTAGTGTTTAATGGCATTTCTCGGCATATGATAAGCTCTAGAATCTAGATGGCGGCCAGTATAATTGGTAAAGGAAGAACCGGGAAAGAAACACCAACCCACAGAAAGTTACTGGCAAGCTTTCTCACATACCCACGTTAGTGTGTGAGATGGATGATTAAACTTGTCGGAAATATATATATATATATATATATATATATATATATATATATATATATATATATATATATATATATATATATATATATATATATATCCGACAAGTTTAATCATCCATCTCACACACTAACAGAGAGAGAGAGAGAGAGAGAGAGAGAGAGAGAGAGAGAGAGAGAGAGAGAGAGAGAGAGAGAGAGAGAGAGAGAGAGAGAGAGAGAGAATCGTTGTTGTAATTAGTGAGAACAAAACTTACAGAATTGATGAGCACATTTGTGATTGAGGATTTTGGTTTACTAAATAATTTTTTTTTTACAATTTGGAAAGTTTAAATAATATTATTGATCCAATTAAACGTATTAGTCGGAATTACTTCTTTTTACAAGATGACCACTGGATGACGAATGAAGGAACAGCTAAATGAAATAACAAGCAATCTATCATTTATGAAACTCGTTTTCGGTGCTCAGGTTCAAAAGTTAGAGCGTCCGCCTCAAATGCGGGAGGTCGTGGTTTCGATCCCCGGTCGAGTCATACCAAAGACTTACAAAAATGGTACTAACAGCTACCTCGCTTGGCGCTCATCATTAAGAGGTTAGTGTTAGGACTGGTTGGCCTGGTGTAAGGATAATGTGACTGGGTGGGACATCATGCTACATGTCTGCGGCATGATGCCACAATGCTAGACATCACTATAAACTGACACACTGCAGACATCGTAGCGATAGGACTAAAACATTGTTAAAGCTAGGTTAAAAATCATAATCACATCACATCACATCAAAAGTAGACACATCCTGAATCAACAATGTCGGGCACATTTAAAAAGTAAACAGAGCTATTAATATGACGGAAACAAGGTTATCGCTCATAAAGAAAAAAAACTTTCTAATCACATCTCAGCTATCTCTCAGATCCAAAGTATACATTACTCTTTGCCTAAGGTGGTCGCGATATGTTTTTTTTTTCTTGTGATAATGGTGTGAAATTGTTGAATATAAATTTAACTTTAAAACGTCTTCTTATATCCTTAAAAGAGACTAAACTCTATTATAGATAACATACGTAATGTCCGTTGTACACTCTTCAGACAATAAATGATTGAGCTAAAGAGAAAACAGGGGACACAGAAAGGGGATTGACTTTGGACTTCATGTTAATGGATGTAATAGGCAGTCGCCACTAACTCAAAAACATGATGTAATAAGCAGTCGGCACTAACTCAGAAACAGCTTTACATGTACAAGCAGGCAGCTCTGGCTGTACATACCATGTGACCATGAGAGAAACACACGTGTGTTATGTGTTATGCTCTTCGTATATGTATTGAATTGGAATTAATATCAGTTATGCAAAGACTATTAAGATTATCGCCCTTTTCCCAAGACAGCTTATCATCACCGGCATTAAAATTAAATACTTGACAATTTTTAGATTAATCGAGATGAGATGAACGTTAAATGAACAGGTCAATCGTCCTTATGCTAAACTTGGTGATTACATTTTCAGAATATTTCTTATAGCTATATTTATACTACCATAAAGGGTGTTTGTATTTCCTAAAGCTGTCAGTCTTCTAAATTCCTAGTCCATCTTCAAAAAGTCTGGTCCACAAACATGAGTTATAAAAAACTACCTCTCTATCAATTTTTTTAATCAATAATAAGGAATTTCGAAATCAATTATGTTTCTATGACAATATAACCCTTTACATCGGCAGAAAGAGGTGATAATAGATCATGAAGATAAATTCAGCAATGATTATCTACCGTAAAACTACGCATTTTTTTTTCTTTTAATTTTCGTTTGTTGCATAATTTGGGCCAGCCAGTGTCTTAGTACAGGTTTTAAATTATGGTATTTTGATAAGTTCGTTAACGATGTTCTGACTCTTGTTGGAGGTTTACCAATATAATCGAGTATAGATAAAAGCAATCTTATTTAATAAGGTTATAATTTCACCAAATCATGAAAAGGAACAAAGCTGTTTAATAATAATAATAATAATAATAATAATAATAATAATAATAATAATAATAATAATAATAATAATAATGTTGTTGTTTGGCTTAACGCCATTTTTCAGCACACGATAGGCGGCCAGTATTAATGGTGGAGGAAGAAACCGGGAAATCACCGGAAAGAACCACCGACCCACGAGAAGCTACTGGCAAGCTTTCTCACATATCCACATTCCGCGAATCCTAGACTCGAACCCACGCAGACAGAGGTGAGATGGCAGTGATCCGTAAGGGACAACGCTTTAGACCACTGGGCCACTCAAGGCCCTAATAATAATAATAATAATAATAATAATAATAATAATAATAATAATAATAATAATAATAATAATAATAATAATAATGATAAATGAAGAAGAGGAAGAGAGCTATGGCTGTAATTAGTAATAAAAACATTTTGCAACTGATGAGCACGTTCGTGATTGAGGATTTCGGTTTAGTAAAATGAAAATTAATAAATTGCAAAGTTTTGATAAATGAGTCTAGTAGTTGCACTTCTTTTCACAAGATAACTACACGTAAACAAATAAAAATAGTTTTTAAAAATCATGTTATTTGAGTTTTTGGTGTACACGTTCAAAAGTATAACAACCATGTCACAATCGCAATCAACAATGTCAATGTCTAGCACTATTAAAAACTAAACATAGCTATTAGTTTTACGGTAACAACGCTATGACTAAGATTTTTTAAAAAGGTGATTACATGTCAATAACATCTTTAAGATCAATAATTTATATTGCACTATGTCTAATGGGGTCACGATATATGTTTATTGTCTTGTGATTATGTGTAGGATATTTAATTTTTAAAAAATAGCTTAAAAATAATTTTTTATAATTTCAAATCGGGATAAATGCAAACGGAAAAATATTATTTTAAAACTTGATAAAAAGTCTGTACAAATAGTAGAATTACAGAAAATAAAAAAGTAGAGAACTTTGGTATGGACTGTCCAAGTAAATATGAAAAGAAAACAGCATGAAACGTAACAAATTTTTTTCATTGATACTAATGATTATGTACCTATAAATGGGAACAACAAACCAACTAATGCAATAAGAAAAATAATTTACCGGTTATCACCTAATAAAGAAGCAATACTGGTACAATAATTTGACGGGTTGGGTTGGCTGTTATTTCTATTTGTCCAACTTATTACCTATTGTTTATTTATGTGCTGATTCAGCTTTTATTGTACTCTCAAAAATTTAAATAAAAATTCTCCAGAAATATTCATCCATAATATTCGCACTTGTTTACCTTCAATGTGATAAAAAATATATAGTTTTACCTTGAATTTAAAAGTTTTTTTATGATGAACTGATAATGTTCTTGCTATATAGTACATATGCAAACAAAAAGGATCGAACAAGGTTTAGTGATTTAAAAAAAGTTTAAAATAACTAAGGAGGGAATCTGCAAGTACTCTAACACTAAAATCAGCTTTGAAAATACGAAAAACATTTTGAATACTGAATGAATGTCAAATAATATGTGCTCGTTATCTGCTAAACCCATACGCTCTTCCTTGCCAATTTGGTACAATTACTTCAGAATACACGGTTCAATTCATTATTGATAAATACAGAAATGGAACTCCTTTCTTTTGCGATTACATTACTAGCCAAAATTACTATCAATGTGACAAATATAAGACTAGATTCGTCACAAGTACGTTTAAAATGAGTTTAAATATGGATGTTTATAAAAATGTATTAAAAACATTAAAGAAGAATATAGAGTAACTCATCCAGCAAAGGTTTTCACGACACCATGATAAATATCTTAGTTACTGTGTCAAGACACAGGAGTCTGCAGTTTTATCAATAAAGCACGACAAAATTTCGGACTACATGAAATCACCTTAACGGTATTATACAATAATAAAGGAATGCAAATCGACATCAACCCTCCTTTCGATTCGAATTTTCTCATGCGTCTTTTATAACTTCAGAATCGCATGAAGACTGAAAAAACTACACATATCCATTAAAAAAAACCAGTAACGTACCAAGAATACAAATTGAAATTGTAAAAAGAAGTTACGGAATTAAATCCATAATGATACAATAATTTCCGATGCAGTTCATACCGAATAAGTTCTGAAAAACCTATAGTGGCATTTCGAATAATTTCCAAGATGTTCATTTGCTTGGAGTGGCTGGTACTCACTAATGTACCTATGGCCTGAATTGTAATAATATACCAACAGTCTTTTCAAGTTAATGTCTGTTTCCGAGAGTATTAGAGAATAATTTGTATTTCCAGAAAAGAATAATTTGAATTAAATAATTTCTCCCAAATCAAAATGCTGAACACAATAATAATCGATTGCTGCTCAGATGTTATCGCAGGATAAAAAAAATTCTTCTGTAAACAAGATTATAAAGCATATCACTTGACGCAGGTAACAATTACATATTTTTATTTAAAAAATATATCTTAACGGAAAAAATAGACATCAATACATCATCAAAACGCGATATTTTTTCCTTTATATTTTCTTGCACTATAATCGTTTTATTTGTGTTTGTGTGTTTAGATACACATAAGTGCAATATATGTTCCCCGCACATTCAGAAATATGGATAGCAAAGACACCCCTGTTAACGTATTTCAGTTATAGTATGCTGTTAACGTATTTCAGTTATAGAATAATAGTTAACATGCGGTGTGGCAGGTTATTAACAGTATTATATTTGAATAATTGTGCAACTATCCTTTGAAGGTACTGTAATTGCATGAGGTAATATGAATCAATTATACTAAATGAGAAATAAACCGCATGATGGTATAAAATTTTATCGAAAAACTAAATATGATTGTTTTTTTTTTAAATCAAGGAAAACCATCAAAATGTATATTAAGGGTTTGCCACTACTAGATTCATAAAATTTCAAACGCCTAGAATTGAACCTGTCTGGTCCACAGTACCGGTAAGTATTGTGGGTTCTCACTTGCATAGCAGTAGATTACAATATGGATCAAGATTTATGCATTTTCACGTAATTACCTCACTTGGTAGATAGTTAGAACATATACAAATCAGAGAGAGAGAGAGAGAGAGAGAGAGAGAGAGAGAGAGAGAGAGAGAGAGAGAGAGACAGAGAGAGACAGAGACAGAGACAGAGAGACAGACAGAAAGACTGACAGAAAGACTACTTTACTTGTCTTCTGCATGTCTATTATGTATGCCATATTCCGTTCTTTCTCGGTTGCAATTTCACAAGACAAATATTATTACATTCTTACCTGCAGTTAAATAAGTGGTTTAAACTGAACTGAGTCATATTCGATCGATAACATCGATGTACGTGTACGTTATCACGTGCACTGTTGCACTGTGCATTTTTCAGTTCTGAAGTCATTTTTCCCACCAAGTGATGCTGACATTGCAGAAAAAAAGCCATTTTCCTAGATAATTCTGAAGAAAACATTGACTACTAAACAATTTGATGCAGTTCACAAAGGTTTTCATCTAGGCAGCTTTTGCAACATTTGACTCGGATGCAGGA